TTGCTGAAATTCCTCAAGATCTTAACTTCATTTGTTGGAAAAGGAACTTAAATGTTTATCAGGACGGTACAATAATATATTTTACACATTTCTGAGCAATCTGAAAATGATGATACTGGTGTTTCATGCTTTTATACACACTCTACAGTCCTTGGTTGGCATTGAGAAATATTGCTTTTATAATTTCCTGCTGAAGCAGCAGACGTGGTAATGCACGATAATGCAGTCAGATCGTTATCAAGTGTAAATCATTTATCTCAGTTAAAGAGAAGAAAAGTGGTTTAACATTTTTAGATTCTTTAATTGGTTGAAATATTCACAGCTGCTGCTTCATTTTGAACAACTACATAATTTAATTTAGCAAAATAAAAAGTAAATTACACAAGATCTTAACAAGGCATTACTCTGCAACTATTGATTATTCTTATATTTGATGGTTCCAGGTTGTCAAATGTGAGAATTTGTTGCTTTTCTTGTTTGTTTTTTTTGCAATAAAGTGAATATTTGTGGGTTTTGTTTAGGAAAAACAAGACATTTGATGAGACCACCTTGGGTTTTAGGATATTGCTTTACATGTTGGGTCTGAATCATTCCTCCTTCCAGTAAACACTTGGCTTCCTGCCTCCTCTCCTTCCTCCCTCCCTCCCTCCACGGTGCTGCAGCACTCACCCTTCTCAGCCGTGGCTCCCTTGTTGAGGATCTGGATGGCCCGGCGGATGTCCAGGTTGAACAGAGCCACGGCGGCCGCCCGCTCCCACTCGCGCTCCTGCTCCAGCGTTCGCAGGAAAATCTCCACGTCAATGTCGGGACCCCGGCTGATCCAGCCGCACAGCCGCAGGGCGAGGCAGCGCTCCTCGCTGAGATACCGCGGTACATCTGTCTGCCGGTCTGAACCGCTCCAGCACCTGCGGCTCTCTGTTGTGCCTGAGGGAACCAGGGAGACATACCGGAGCATTCAATAAGTCAGGTGTACCAATTTAGGATAACACATATTTTATCGTTCTGACTCTTCTTCACAAACATATTTTAAAATATTACATTTTCAGGTGGTTCACCTACCTGAGCTGGTCTTGACGATGTTCTTGATACCAGAGTAGACCACAGACTGTTTGTTCCCCTGCAGTTTCAGCTCCATATCCTCTGCACACTGCTTCATATGTGATACTCGTATAGGAATTGTAACTGATATTGCAGTTTAAACAACGTAATTATCGAAACGCACAAGAGCCACAATTACTTTATTATGACTCAAATTCAAGCTGGACCGTAGTAACAGTTCAACCTCTAATGAATGCAAGAAAGAAACATTTTTACTGTTTACCATCGAAACAAGAATAAGTACTGAATATAGAAGACAAACATCTACATATCCAGTCAACCTTATATAAAGGCTGCCAGTAAGTTTATTTGCCTTCTAAAAATAAAACTATATCTTTTTTATAACTTTATAAAACAAAACAAAAAAATCACTATGTGACTGTAGATAAAACAAGTTGCAGGTTGTAAGATCTAACACTCAAACAAAAGTTATCGAATGTGACTTTAATAATCTATTTAATGACATTTTAATTACCTGTATTCATGAATTTCTATTTTTATTATGTAAAATAATAAAATCTATCTATATATATGTTTATATCTAACAAGGTAAAAAGGACTGTTCTGCACAGTGAGCAGTGAGCTTTGAAAAAGGAGATAAAACTTCTTAGATAAGAAGGATTTGTAAAGCACAACACAGCAGTTTCACAACAATACCAACATAAATATATAAATCAGTATCTTTACTTCCACCACTCCTTCGTCATAAAGGATATAGAACAGATCGTACCACAACGACTTGAGCTTGGGGTCGTTCCCTCCAGCCAGCAGGTGGTTCCTCCACACCTGGACGGTATCGTGGCCGTACCTGGACTGAGCCCTCTGCCTCATCTTGGTGGCAATGTCTTTCTCAATCACGCTCTCCACTCCATCAGCCCCGTCCTCCACGCAGTCGTACAGGTGCCTGCCGCACGCCCACATGAGCGAGGTGGTGGAGCTCCAGGCCAGCGAGATGCGCTCAAACACGGTGAAGTCAGTCATGACCCGGTTGGCCGCCGACACCACCACCATGCGGTTCTGAGAGGACGGGTGCCAGGCGAAGCTGCCGATCTGGCTTTCACAGGGTTGCACGCTTCGCTCGATGATGGTGGGCTCCGTCTCGTCGCCGATGGGCGTGGGAGTGTGTTGCATGTCGTACAGACGGATGATGTTGCTGTCACGTGTCAGTGTGGCGAGCAGGCCGGTACGGGTCGGACACCAAGCCACCTAAAGTGAGAAACAAAAGCAACTTTCTGTCTGTAAAATCTACTATATTTAATATTTTACCAGGAGACTACATCATCAGAATCCCCCCCCAAAAAAATCCCAATTTAACAAGACAGAGCTGAAACATTTGGCTCATTCCCTCAAAAACAAACTGCCTCATACCTTAGTGAGCGGCTTCGGCTGCTCAGTGAGCGTCAGCACGGGCTTTTCAAACTTCCTCAGATCCCAGATGGCCACCTGACCCTCAAAGAAAGACGCCACACGGTCGTGGAAGTGTGGGTCGACCGTCACCCCCTGGATGGCCTTGGTGTTGACAAACGTTTTCTGGCTCGTGTTTCTCAGGTCGAATATTGCGAGGTTCCTGTGCATGCCGGCCAACAGCAGCTTTGGGTCGCGAAGCAGCCAGCAGAGGGAGAGGCAGGCGTCGTTCTGGCCTAACTCGTACAACGGTTTCGTCACCACCGAGCTAGAGTCCAAATCCACGGAGGAGAGACGAATCTTCTCCGCGGCTACGCTCGCCTCTGGGGAGAACTTACTGCTGATGTCCCATATGAGGACAGAGAAGTCTGCCCTGTGCTTGTCCAACCCGGCGGCCAGCAAGTTGCTGTCCACCGGGTTCCAGGCTAAAGTGTTGCATTGACGGGCGTGCTTGGGCACAAACTCTTTTCCCACCAGCTCTTTGCATGTGGAGTTGTGGCTCTGACCCAGGCTGGTGAGCACCACTCTGCCGTTGGCTTGGCCCACGGCGAGCAAACATTCGGGCTCATGCTTCGGGTACCAGGCCACACATTTCATGTACGGGGTGTCAGAGTTAATGGCGAGTAAAGTAGCAGCGGTTTCTTCAGAGAGCGGGAGAGCGCCAGCCTTGGTTTCGGAGCCGCCCACGGGCCCAATGCGGTACAGTCCCAGCTCGGAGTCGCAGATGACGTAGCGGTCCGGGTGGTGGGGAGACCACAGGATGTCGGGCTTGGAGCCACTCATGGTTCAGAAGCAGCTAGAAGGATCTCAAAGGAATCTGCCTTCTACAACCTGGAAAATGGGACATATTATTATTATTATATATATATTATACAACTTTATTTTTTACTGTTTAAACGCTATTAAAATTGTTCTGATGTGACTTTTTTTTTTTAAAGGTCTGCACCAAACAAACATGTCTTCTTACATCTGATGTCCTATTTATTCTCCTGTAGCACTTTGGTTGTTTTTAAAGTGCTAAACAAATAAAGTTGGATTGGATCTTAAGAGCCTCTGCAGCACTTACAGTACATTATTATTATTATTAGCATTATTAGAGTATATTACTGCACGATAAAGCTGTTTTTAACCCACTTTTCACCACAAAATCATTGCAGCTTCTTGCGATTTGAGTAACACTGCGACTACTTGTGACACCGCAGCGATATTGAACAGCTCACCTCCCTGAAACCGGCGCAGAAAGGCCGAAACACCGCAGCGAGAAACACCGCAGCGAGAAACACCGCAGCGAGAAACACCGCAGCGAATAATAACCGGAATCTTAATCTGCGCGTTAACAACGTAAAACAAATGGAGAGTTAGCGACGCATCTGTTAGAGATTAAAGAGCCACGTGAAGTTAAAGATGTAAGTAAATCGCGAACACGTGTCACGGCGGTTTAAAAAGTAAAGATAAAAGTTTGTTGACATGCTAACTGAGCTAAATGCTAACGACCGGTTAGCTCGTTTTGCTAGCAGCCGGAAGCGTTAGCGAACCGTTGACGACGTGAAGGACGCGGCGTTACTATGGCGTTACTATGGTTACTGTGGCGTTACTATGGCGTTACTATGGCGTTACTATGGTGCTTACTTACGGACGCGAGCGTTGGACAGACACATGTCGGGAGGGGACACTGTTCTCTGGGGGACACTCTCCGAGCCCCTGCTGAATGTTGTGTGTTACACCAAAACACGTCCGTGATGTGAGTGAGTGTCAGCGTCTAACTCAAGGTTCCGGGGAGGTTTAGTACACACAGTTAATTTAATTTAATTTAATTTAATTTAATTTAATTTAATTTAATTTAATAGGGACATAAAATAAAATATAAAATATAAAATAATATAATGATAATAACTTAAAATAAAGTAGAAGAATAGACTTGACTTTTTTATAAAATAAAATACAAAATATAATAATATAATAATAATATAAATAATAATAATAATAATAATATAATGATAATAACTTAAAATAAAGTAGAATATACTTTTTTATAAAATAAAATACATAAAATAATAACAATAATAATAATAATAATAATAATAATAATAATAACTAATATTAAAATAAAGTAGAAAAATGAAAAATAGACATGCAGTTGTGCATGTGTAAAATAAAATCAGATTTTTTTTTTATTTTCTTTATTGATCCCACACTGGGGAAATTATCTCGCTCCAGATACAGCACAGAACAACAGAAAAGAAAATACACATTAAATAATAGAATAATGATAGAAAAGTACAAGATATAGGGAAAATAGGGCAAATCGAATAAGAGTTATATATACAGCTTTTTAATATACAGATGTGATTTATGTGGAACATTGCACAGGTTACAGCAGGAGGTAGTAGTGCACAGTATAGTGTGTGTGTGTGTGTGTGTGTGTGTGTGGTGTGTGTGTGTAGGACTGTGGCATGTTAATACATATTGGGCAGCAAGATATACCCTATTTTTTTAGTGTTCATTTAGATCGTTAACATCTGGAATTACAGAGTTTTAATTCGTTAAAATAAATGTTCCTTATATAATATCTAATGTTTTTCATTGTAGGAGGAAGTTGCATCTCTGTCTCATCCTCACCTGTCGAGCAGTGCCCACATATTCTGTATTCAACTGGTTGCCATGATGTTTGTTTGTTGTCTTTCATGCAGTTTACCAGCAGATGGTGCCATAACCAAAGTATGAAAATACACAGAGAGGAAAGCAACGAACTGAATCCCAACACATAATACCGATCACTACAATATTTTATAAAAGAATAATACAATACAACTAAGCAGATTATGTTAAAATGTTTTTCCTGGTTAATATACTGGCATCGTTGGATTGACTGAACCTTACAAGTTGACTACAACTACTTCAGATAATATCTGTAGCTGTACATGGGAATCATACTACAACTCATCTGGTTTTCTCATTAGTGGGCGACAGTGGAAAAGTAAAACAATCTCATTTGGGACTTTTTTAAGCCCAACACACAAAGCAGTGAGGCAAAAATCAAACTGTATTAAATCTCCCCCAGCTGAGAATAAGACGATATTAACTGCCTCAAACTTATTGAAAGGTACTTTATTTTGATTAATAGCCATGTTGATATCAGGTTTTCCTCTCCGTGTTGCTCAGTTTTAACCCCACACTGCTCCAATATTCCAATAATATCCCTAATAGGATCTCATTCAGTCGAACAGGAGAGTCAGGAAAGTCCTTTCGGTCAGTCATCAAGCTCTGAACTGGACCGGCGCTGAAATGTTGGAGCGGCCCCAGAGCCCCCGACTGACACACACAGAGTATCAGCTCATCTGATGGTCCTCACTTTATCTCAGCCCGGTTTATAGCAGACCAGATTCCGCGAAATGCCACCCAAAGACCCACAGCTGACTGGACTACAAGCACTGACTGCAGCTAAATGAGACTCTAGGTAAAACATTTCATCATTATTTAATTAACTATACTATAATAACCCACTTTAATGTACTCTTCGTGTATTTTACTCGGCGTGTTACAGTTTGAATGACAACTTTAGTGTTTAGTTGTTAGAGAAGTCATGAGGTTAAATAAGGCAGAAGGTTGTTAACATTTAAAGATGTTGATTTACTGTACGTGAACTTACATACAGTTTAAAGGTTGCACTGTTTGATATATTTTTTTAGACTATTTAGTATTTGCACAGATTATTCTGGCTTTAGGCCCATTTACATATTTATGGCACTTTATAAAGCACATAATCAGTATTAGGAACTGTATAATTTTAATGAATTATCACATATACTGCAGCTTCACAGCACCCCTTGCTGGGTGTGGTCATTAAGATGCATTAAAGTTACACTTAAAAACAGGTGAATCTTATGAAAACTGGCAGAATATTTTATGTTTTGTATACAGGTTGTTGTAAAGTTTAATGCACTTCACCGCTTTGTCTGTGCGACTGCTAGGATGGAAATGTTGCCGAGGGGAAACCTGAGGAGAGGAGTGGCGCTCTGCCTGCTGCTGTTGGCTCTCGTAGGCGAGGCCACAGGCCAGAGGAGAAAGACAGGACGCAGGAACAACTACAGGCTGCACGATGATGGAGGAAATGGTAATGTTCTGTATATGCGTGTCAGACTCCAGGTTGGAGGATCACACGTTCACATCCACAGCTCAAGATGTGTTAGAATAATCACGTCAGTCGTTATGTGCAACATTTATAGGACAGTTTGTCTGCGTGGTTTTAGAGCTCAAACTCATATTTGATAAATGTGGGTTGATGGCGAGCAGTGTCAGCAGGTTTAAATCCCAGTTCAAGTCTAAAACTGACGCCCTATTAAGGTTTTGAAGCCAATGATTGAACCCAAACATCCACAGGTCACAGTGGGACCATCGATGTGGCTCAGGAGGTAAATTAGGTCCACTGATCATAGGGTTGGCGGTTCGATCCCCTGCTCCTCCACCACATGTCTACATATCCAAGTGTAACTGGCCAATAACATTTATCATCTAATATTCATTCTCACTGCGTGGTACTGACATGTTACGTTATCCTATTTACGCCTGTATATTAACCCCCATGTAGACATGTTCACCAGGTAGATCTCCTTGCACCGAGGGCAGCTCAGCCCTAAAACACTGTACTGGACAATTAAAACTCTCTTAAAACTGTATCTTTGTAAGTTTCTGGTAAGGAAGTTGTCACATTTAAAGGTCCAGTGTGTAACATTTAGGAGGATCAATCGGCAGGAATGGAATATAATATTTATAGGTATGTTTTAATTAGAGTATAATCACCTGAAGATAAGAATTGTTGTGTCGTCAACCATGTTGAAACACTGGCTCCAGATAGGTTCACCGCAATGCCACCAAATCCTACACAGTGGTCCTTTAAAGTCCCTATGTGTGAGATCTGAAGATTTTAGATTCTAGTTTTAGTATCAGAAAGAAACACTGTGGCAGACAGCGATGCAGTCTACTAACATGTTTTTAAATTAATGAATGAATCACTAACAGAGATGAGTAAGTACACCACGATCTGTATCTTTTCAACAAATAAATAACCTGTATCTGTAATCAGAAGGGACGGGACTAACTGGAACCCTCAGAGCTTTAAAGCAAAGTTTTTGACCACAATAGTTAGTATTTACAGAACTTACTTGTTGTTTATTAGAAAATAGATGTTGACTAATTACTAACTATATAAAACGTCAATAAAATTGTTCTTCTAAGACGTGTTGATATTGTTTGACTGACCAACAGTTAAAACCAATAGATATTTAATATTGAATAACCAAAATCACTGTTCTCCCGCAGGTCTGATGTGTTCACTGGAGGTGGCTTTCATCCTGGACAGCTCAGAGAGTGCAAAAATATTCCTGTTTGAGAAGCAGAAGGCCTTCGTGTTGAGCTTCAGCACTCGCCTCGCTATGCTGCAGGTAGCCGGCTGGACGCTGAAGGTGCGAATGGCCGCGCTTCAGTACAGCAGCTCCGTGTCCATAGAGCACCGGTTCTCAGCCTGGAAAGACCTGGATTCATTCCACGGCCGAGTCAGCACCATGAACTACATCGGCCATGGCACCTACACCACCTACGCCATCACCAACGCCTCGCAGCTGCTGGTGCAGGAGACTCCGGAGGACAGCGTCAGGGTTGCAGTGCTGATGACCGACGGGGTCGACCATCCCCGTAACCCCAATGTGATTGCAGCTGCAGCAGAGGCCAAAGGTCACGGCATAAAGTTCTTCACTGTAGGTCTATCAGACATCGCCCAGCAGAGTCAGAACAACGCCAAGCTACGCGCCATCGCCAGCACCCCGGCTCAGCAGTTTGTCCAAAGTCTTCTTAATCCTCAGCTGGAGGAGAAGCTGCTCAAAGAGATGGTGAGTGTCGGCTGCGAGGGAGATGACCTCAGTTAAGATGGCACCCGTGTAGATGGAAGAAACAACAGGGACAGGATGTTGTGTTTTTTTATCCCAAAAGTGAGTTTTAAGATCAATAAATGTTTAAAGATCCAGTGTGTAACAATTAGGAGGCTCATTATGGTTTTGTTACCTCAGAATGAGCGTTTTATATCTACAGACGCCTTTCCATGGAGTCTGCCATGTTGACCCGCCATGTTTCTACAGTAGCCCACGAGGAACAAACCAAACACTGGCTCTAGAAAGGGGTGTTAGCGTCAACAGTTTCTCTCTAACACTTGGAAGAGGAGGGTGAAGCGAGGAAGTTATAATCTGCAATTACTCCGCTCAAAGCCACTAAATCCTACAAACTGGAGTCGTGTAACCACTGGTATTAACTTATAACCTCACAAACGCGTCAGTTAGTGTATTTTGTGCTGTGGGTATCGGCATTTGTCATGTTTCTCTTTTCTTTTTCCACCCGTCTGTAGTTTTAGTCAGCCAGAAGACGCTTCAGCGATTCTCAATCAGGTGCCATTGATGCTCAAGAACCTGCAGCCTTTAATCACAATCCAATATCGCTATTACACCGTCTGATTTCACCTGTTCTCTTCCACTTGTTTCCTCGACATCAGCTGCTGTTGTTCTTCTTTGCCCCCCCCGATGGTTGACAAGCAGTAATGATATACTGCAGCCTATCACAGTGACAGCAGCATGCAGCTTTTCTGGAGGCTTTGTATTCGCCCCCTTTTTTTCTGCACTTTCTGTCCTCACAGCGAGTTCACGTCTCAGTGACAGAGTTGTGTCTGCATGACGGGGCTTTCCCGTCTGCTTTGCATTTTCCACACACACACAGAAATGTCGGGGGTCAGGGCCTGTCTGAGAGAGTGGCGCGACTTGTCCTGCTTTCCAGAAATGTGTGATAAAATTCATTCACAGATACAGCTCGCAAGAAATGTGTTGAGGGAAAGATAATATCTGACACAGAGGTTTTTCTGTGGTGTTTGAACTGCTACTGACGTGTTTTTGTCTTGTGTTTTGCCTCCAGAGTGCAGTCGTATTTGAAGGGGTGAGTCTTTCAAAGCAATCCAGCATTTTTCTTTTCTGAGTTATTAGTGTAAATGCACTGACTTTGTGTTTTTCTCTCGTTTAGTGTCCAAAGGCTCAAGTGTGTTTGTGTGAAAGAGGAGAGAGGGGCCTTGCAGGAAGTCCAGTGAGTATTCAGAAAGCAATAAAACAAGTTTAAAAATTTCAATTATAGTAGTTTCACGTGAAAACTATAATCTTTACCAACATTATACATCAAACAGCATAAATCTAACCAAGAACATGAACTATTTTAAATTCCAGGGTAGAAAAGGGGACCAAGGCTTCAGAGGGCCACCTGGTCTAAAAGGTTCGAGGGTAAGTCTTAACACAAAGACGCTATTTAACTCAATTTTAGTGTCTGAACTTTCAGATTTTGTGCAGCTCACTGTAAGTTGGTCTCTTCTTTTTTAATCAGGGAGAGCCTGGATTGAATGGTCAACCTGGAAATGATGGTCCGGAGGTAAAAATGAAATAAAAATGATGAGTTTTTAGCTGATTATGAAAGTCTCAATTTAATACTGCTGTAATTCTCCACGGGCAGCCAAGTTGTTTTTTTGCCATAGAAAGTGCTTCGGTTGGGACAAGCTGTGTAGCGTGTACTGAAAGGGAAGCCCTAGCTGCGTACCCTTCTTACAAACAGTTAATATATAACACAAGAATTTATAACACACAACTAACTCTCTTCAAGAGGACAATCCCTAACATGGATTAAAACCTTTTTATAGTCTATGTACTACTGACAGTAGAATAAGCCACTTTTAAACTATATAAAGGCCCAGTAATGCAATAAATAAAGTAAAGAATAAAAGAAACGGCAGAATCTTTAAAAGTACTGTGATACAAAGAGTACTAATATCTAGCACACCGAGTCGGATTCCTCTTGAAATCAATGAAACAAGGTGGTAGAAACACTACCAGCTTTGTCCACAGGGGCCGCCAGAATCAACAATAAAATAAAGTTCCTTGTCCTTTTTCTCCTTTCACAGGGCCGACCAGGTTATAAAGGCAACAAGGTGGGTGACATTTAGCTTTAGCAACATGCCAATCAGTTGTTTTATTCAAGTCCTGAGAAAATAAGAGTATAATCTTGTGTTTGCTCTTTCAGGGGGAGAGAGGAGACTGTGGCACTCCTGGGGAAAAGGGTGACATCGTATGATCATTATTAACTACATTATTTTAATCCATACGTCAGACTTTCTCCTCATAATGAATTAAGTGTCATTTTGCAGGGACCCGAGGGACCTCCAGGCCTGCGAGGACCAAAAGGAGAACAGGTAGAGCACAACCAGATGTCTTGTTTTTAAATGAACGGTAACAATTATTCATCTTGGTTTGATCATTTTAAAAGCCCACAAATAGACATTTTTTAGGCCAATTTCTAACAAAATAATCAGAAAAATGTCAGGAAAATACTTGCAATGTCGGTCTGTAGGTCCTCTACTTTGGTCCAGACTGAAACATCTCAAAAACTATTTGATGGATTGCCACAAAATTATATAAAAACCATTACGGTACGTAGAAGATTAATCCTACTGACTTTTCCTTTAGCACCACAATGAGGATAATATTTGTGTTTTTGAGTGAAAAGTCTCAACAATTGTTCAATGGATAGTCATGAAATATGGATGAATTCTAACGCTTTATGACCAGATACCTGCAAAACTATTGACCGTCATCAGCTTTGTGTTTTGTTCTAATTATAAAAATTAGTGAAACATCCTAGTGAGCATATTAGTCTGCTCATGTTAACATTTAGCTCGAAGCACCTCCGTGTCCAAGTAGAGCCTCGCAGACTCTATTTGTGTCTATTTATCAAACAAAATCATCAAATCACGGATAACCATTTTTATCGACTTCATCATTCGATTTATTCAAACTCTTTCCAGCCACTGTCCTCTGAACATACAGTTTACTTCCTGCTGTTCTTATTGATACACAGACATCATGATATGTGGACATCAGACAGCCCCTTCACTCCCCAATATAAAAAATGGAAGTGGAATTTGTCTCCTATTCGTCTCTGCACTAATGGAATGTGAATATTGGATTATGGGTAATCCTGATACTAATGTGGCTATCCAAAGCAGTGAATCCAGGCTTGCAGGATATTATTCTTTTGCAGGAACAGACTTTGTGTGGTGGGATTAGTGCAGGGACCTGGCCGCCCAGCACCACTCTTCCTCCTCTGTGCTACTGGCACAGTGTCAGTATAACCTTGTTATTTTGTGAGCTTGGCCTGAGAATCGAAGGACATGAAAGCTGTGAATGTTGATTTTAATTCTGTTCATTCAGTGGTGGTGGGTTGGTTTTGACCTGCACTTTGGTCATACAACGTGGGGGCTTCATTTTAAATTCATCCATGATTCAAAGCTTTTGTCACGAAAGAAAGTGTGACTTTAGATCCAGTTGTTTGGATGAAACGACAGATACCGTAGAGTGTGTTATTAATGTGATTAAAGTAAACTTTTATGATGCATAGATGGATTGTATAAGATTTTAAATTTGCTTTGCAGGGTGCGATCGGACCGCCAGGAGACATGGGCCCCGATGGCCCAGCCGGACCTAAAGTAAGATTCACTAAAACCTCAAGAAGCATTAAATTTTTCTCTCATTTCTGCTCTGAAAGTTTCCTACAGCGACAGTTTAGTGATTAAAGTTGTAGACACACTGAAATCTTATATATAAATATATATATAACCCAAAGCGACCAGATCCTTAATTATGCACAACTTTAAGCCTTAATTTAATTTAAACAGGTGAGTTATATAACAAATCATGAACAGGGAATCTAGCTATAACAACCAAAACAGTTTTTTGTACCAGGCTGTATTTCAGTTTTAAATTTGAGCATTTTAATATGGGGCCTAAAGGAGATTTAGCTCACTTCTGTAGCCAGCCTCAAGTGGCCGTTGAAGGAACTGCAGTTTTTCTTACTTCTTACTTCATTTGGAGCCACGTGGCTAACATTTCTAACTTTGACACTCCGTACTGGTAGTATCAAGAAAACACTGCGGTAGACACTACTAGAAAAACTACAGTACACAAGAATAAATAGACAGTTTTCATTTACAATAGAGCAACAGTTACACATTACTTGTTTATATTTATGACATTTCTTGATAGTTTATGTAGCCTCAGAAGAATTAATCGTAAGTATTCAATTATTCGCGAGTTTTTACCCTAAATTTTCTCATAATATTCACACTTTTTACCTCAAAATATAGCAAAAGTTTTCTTGAGTACATTAGAAATTTTTTCTGATAAAACTATTTCTATCCCATAATGCTGCATTTGTTGTGATCACAGACTGCTTAGTGCTCGATTCTGATTTGTCAGCCTGCTTTTTTCTTGCTTCTGAGAAATAAGGCTGTATAGTGGGTAATCATTAGCTTGACAATGTCCAAAGTTCAAAAATACATTTTGCAACACCACTAAAACATAAGGAAGTTGCACCTTGTTTGTATACAGAAGTGTAAAGTAATGAGATACAAATACATATTACTGTACTTAAGTAGTTTTTCTAAGGTACAACTTCTTACTTTTACCTAAATGTTTACACAAATATCTATATATATTTTCTTAACATACACAATAACATAACACATAACACAATGTAAAAGACGAAACAGACAAACAAGACTCAACCATTATTAAAGTTTTCATTAGTTTTGCACAGAAACAGCTGGTAGAAATGTCCTTCAGAGAAACAACAAGACTAGTTTTGTTCTTTGCGTACATTTCAAACCCTCTACTTTTTCCCTCCTACTTGAGTAAGTTACCGCAGTGTTTATTAGACAAGTACCTGTAGTACTTAAGTAAAGACTGTGTGTACTTTTGCCACCTCTAAATGTTTAATATGAACAGAAGAGTAAAAATTACAATTTATGGTTTAATTTGTGGGTTACATGCTGGAGCTATTTCTTTGTTTATCCATCCACGGAACAAATCTGTGCAGCATCTCCCCTGGTTGCCCAGCAATCTCATCGTAATGCCAAGAAGTCACTGCGCAGCTGTTGTTCACCAAGAAATAGTTAAGAGCATGCAACTCCTTGTAAACATATTTCCCAAAATGCTGAAATATTCCTTTGAGGTTTTTAAGAAATACGACATTTTCATTTTGTGATCGGAAATTTCATCCATCAACATCCCAAAGATACAGAATATTTTGACAGCAAAAGCATGATTATTTAGTCAAAATGTTGTTAGAAATGTGTTTGTTTTTTTAGTTCTTCATTTACACTCAGTGCTCCTCAGTCACTTTCAAACATTTGTATTGTCAGATAGCCGTTTTGATGAAACAGGGGGCAATATAAGACCGACCTTTAAAATGTGTGCCCAAGGCTATTAAGATGCTGATGCCTCTATCACCACAGAGCTGTCCCACAGCTTTTTAACAAAGATGCCTTTATACAGATGAAATTCAACGTGATTTATAGCACATGCAGGAAAAGTACAGGCATTAATCCAAAGCAAGTTTTACAGATGGAACAATGGATTGCTCTTTATTTCCTAAATTCCATAAAAGGTTGAAAACAAGGCTATAGGCCATTTGGTTTCCCTGATGAAGAGAGGAATGAATATTATATGTATTTTTATAGCATGTTCAATCAGATATCACTAAGATACTACTGTAACTGATTGTAAATCTATTTTTTAAACCTTTAAGAAGACTGGAGAGAGCACAGGTTGTTTATTTCCCTGTGGAAAAATAAACTGCAATTAAAATGAAAATCCCACAAACAACGTAAAAAAAACCACAAGGTTTTAGTTATTTTTGCAGAGGATGTTTAATCATGTCAGGATGCAAATGACAATGTAAATGGTGGCACTGACATCCCTGAAAAGCTGTCAACAATTATGTATCATTGTCACTTAAGAATGTGAATGGACTGGACTTGGATGGTGGTTATTTTAGAAGACAATGTAAAGAGTAGAGTCATCAGCAAACATGCAGAGTTGCAAAGATCTGGCCAATTTATTTTTAATTCTATTTAGATTGATCTTCAGTTAGTGGATGTAAGTTTGATCAATTCATTCAATTATGAGGCTGTACATTACTTTTTATTCATTCAATAAAATATCACCTGATGCATGTTACTGCAGTGGTTCCCAACCTGGGGGTCGGGACACCTTAAGGGGTGTAAGAAAACTTATGATAAAATATAACAATAGGCCTATATTATTGCATTTCATTGATTTCTATGAATAAAGTTTAAATTATTATTTAAATCTAAACTTTGAAGACCTGAACACAAGCTATATTCACAGAGCCTTAAGTCTCTGATAAACAGCCTGCACTAGTAAAGTATTAAGCTAACAGAGCAATGCCCAAACATAAAGAAGAAAACACTAAATTTGTCAAAATTCTCAATTTGTCGCTTGTTTTACAGAAATGTCCTGCAGTTGTTGCGTTCACTGTTTGGGTTCATTGTACAGCTTATCAGTCAGATCGTCAGTTTACTTAACTTAATGAAAAAGGTAGTTGTTAACTTGTCTGCAGTGTTGAAAATGACACATCACTTGCAAACCTCTGAACTTGTTTACTTGCCACAGGGAGACAGAGGGCCCAGTGGTGCTTCCGGACCACCAGGAGACATTGGTATCGGATTCCCAGGAGCCAAGGTAAACTATATTTACTACCATAAAAACATCCTCTACAGTGATTTAATCTTTTTAAAATCAAATGTATGCCCAGTTGTATTCTCAAAGGACTGAGGATGGATGTTATTTTTCTTTATTACAAGAATTTTAAAGAATATACAAAAGGGGAAATATAGGGGATGTGCCGATCCAATATTCAGTATCGAATCAATCAATGGAATAGATATCAGAGAAAAAACAACTATAATCAAAGGCGGTATCGGATTGGTGTCGGTACTGGCAGATACTCGAGGTTCATCAGTATTGGACATGAAAAAGTGGTATCGAGCCATTGCTAGTTACATAAAACACAACTGCAAAGATGTGTGCAGTCAAAATAACTCTTAAATACTATTTTTAGTTGTTTATTCTCTTTATTAATTATTATTATTAGTATTATTATTATTTTTATGTCACCTAAGTGTAACATTTTAGTCAGCGTGCCATCGATATAATAAATATTATCACTCTTTAAAGAATTGGTTAAAAGTGTTGAAAGTTGTTCACTGGCGCTGTGTGATGCTTACAGGGTGAAAAAGGCATTCAGGGAAGAGCAGGTCCCACAGGACCTGTTGGGATTGGAGAACCAGGACTACCAGTGAGTATGAGAAATGGTCTTATATTGTATCGGTTTATTAATTTTGATTAAATTAATGTATAACATTGTCTTGAAAGCACAACTGCACACCTGTTTCAATGGGCAAGTGAGATTGATAACAGTGTCAAATAATCAATATAAATAAACAATAAATGTTGTTCTGCTGGAAGATGTACCTAGACCTTTTTAAGTAAAAGAAGAAATACCACACATTAAAATATCTCTTTGAGGCCCTTTGAGAGTATAATATTCTTATATAAATCATATAATTGGAATATTATTACTGATATATTGACACATTAGCAGTCACAGCTGGCTGAGGTGGAACTATTTTATACTACATTATATGCTGTTGGGTAAATTGATCTATAACAATGTATCATATTATATGAATTGATCATACAGTATGTTCTGTATGTAACATCATGATCTGCAAAGTAACTAATTGTTGTTTTTAGACACGTTAGGGAGTAAAAATACACATTTTCTTCTGAAATGTTGAGTAGAAGCATAAAGTAGCTGAACAGCAGTTGATTAAATGTACTTAATTATATTCCACCACTGACAGCTTTCATTTTATGCACAGATAAACTATTTTTGAGGTTCTTTGTCAGGTAAATGCATTTAGGAAAGTACGAGTCAAAGATGCAAATAGAAAGAACATCCTGAGAAAGCTAAATTACACATGCAGGATTGTTGTTTTCACTTCCATCTGGTTATTAAACATTGCAGAGCAGCCAAGTTGTCAAACATAAGCATGTTCTGTGCACTCCACTCAGATCCCATTCCAAAAAATTCTCAAACCCCTGCTGCCACCTGCAGCACCAATATGCAACAGTGCACTATGTAGAACCACAGTGGCTTATTGGTGCTTTTACTAGCTGCCACTTTACTATTAAAACAGTTTTACAGAAGTCTTCTCTTAAGTAGACTTGTATTAAAAGTTGTTTGTTTGTTTCAGGGTCCCCCAGGACCACCTGGAGCACAGGGAAATGTGGGACCACCTGGAGAAGGTTTTCCAGGGCCAAAGGTAAGTTGTGTTTTTAATCCAATAAGATTATTTATCCTGAAGGGAAATCGCTGTTCAAAGAGGGAGGAGTGTAAATTAGTGCAAATATATAAAAAAATTACAGATTATCAGTAAGTGCATAATGTCTCAAATGTAATACAGTTTAACTGTGTGTAACATTAAATGTAAACTGGTTAATGATAAGCTGAAAATCCAAACTATAACAACAGTAATGATCACAAAAAGTACGCAGGTTAATGGGGAGGTGCAGATCTAAAAATATACACTACGCCAAAAACTGAAAGGTTGACAGTAGTGGCAATAATTATCCCCCGGTGGATGGTAAAGGGCAGATCCAAAATATGCAGTATACAATATATGTTTTTTATTGTGTTTTTTTATAGCAACATTATTGTATTGTATTGTTTGAGTTTTGTATTGTTCTGTATGTATTTGTTTTAAGGCCTTTCTGGGGTTGAGAGTGTCCAACTAGCTTGGCTTTAAATGGTATAATATTCATGTGAAGAACAAGAGTTGAACAAGTTGAAACAGACACATGCTGCAGCAGTCTGGATATTGGCAGTGGAGTTCAGTGCAGGTGCAAAGCAGGACAGACTGATTCATGGAAATTACAACCAGAAAATATTTCACTGCGATTGTATTATGAGACACTTATGAACAGTGATGTCTACAGTATGTCACACTTTCCACCTTTTTTTTTTAGGGTGATCGAGGATTCGATGGTCCAAGGGGCAATCGTGGAGTTCCTGGTGTCGGGATCAAAGGTGACAAGGTAAAAAGAAATGTATACATCATCAAACTTTCTCTACATTGTGAGTCTAATATAATCTGACACACAGCTGAGTCTTACTGTATTTTGTTATTGAGTTTATACTTTTTACTAATGTTTTCTCAGGGCAGTCAGGGGCCGCCTGGGATCTCCGGTCCAGTTGGTGTGCCTGGTATAGGACTTCAAGGAGAAAAGGTAGAAAACAGACCATAAAATAAACAAACCTATCTTACTAAGAGTTACCAGCGTCTCCCACCTGTTTGATCTGTTTTCGCAGGGTGATCTAGGTCCAGTCGGACCTGCAGGCCCCAGAGGAATTCCAGGTATTGGACTAACAGGACCAAAGGTAAGACAGGACGAGGACGATCTGTCCATGAACTAACAGGATCTTTGTCTCAGAAACAGAAACTCAGATGCTAATTGCAATTTGACAGTCAGCTGATTCTCTGATTGCATCTAAATTGTTTTGCATATTTTATCACATAAATACGCCGGGGAAACACAGTTGGCTTGTCAATCAGATGCCTGTTTGAATCAGTCTCCTTCTCCGTCAGGGAGGGAATAGAGAGGCTGCTATTGGTGGATGGTTTATAATCTGAGACATTTATTTCAGCTCTCGTCCGTTTAAGGGTCATTTCACAGATTCTTTTAAAGCATTTTGTGTCTGAAATATAGATAAATAAAGGAAAATTAAACAACAGAACATTCTTATTTTGTTTTTTAAGCATTTTGGGTTTCATTTATTTATGTAGTTAGTTTTCTCTGTTTGCTACAAACTACAGTGTCCAGCTGTTTTAAGAAATTACTGAGCTTTTTTTTTTTTTATGAAGCTTGATATTTGTGACCTGTTTTGAAACATTTACATCTTCAGTAGGAAAATCAATCGAAGGACAAACAGATTCCACTCTTTTCATGGGATTTGATAGCAAGAAAAACAGAGAATAATGCAAACGTATAGGCAAAATTATCCCCAATTTCATTTCCTAAAACCAGACTACAGTATTTCTTAAATTCAGTATCATATTTGCTTTAATTTCACTAGTTTCTTGTTGACAGTTTAAGTAAAAACACTGAATCTTCCACTGTCTGTGTGAACATTACCTTTAGGGGAGTCAGGGACCCTCAGGTGAACCTGGACTGCCAGGTGAGAGAGGTGTGGGAGAACCAGGACCCAAAGTGAGTGTGCTGTTCCCCTCTAAACACTAACTATCACAGTACAGTAAAGATCCTTTTAAAGAAATACCACTGTAAGAAGGTTCAAGGTCAAAGCCTGAATAACCACTGTGATCCTAGAGTGACTCTTAAAATACAAAGATATATTTAATATTGCGTCTTTATCCGTCAGTCTGCCGATGCTCTTGCATGTTATTTCCCTCTTTCAGGGTGAGCCAGGGTCGGAGGGGTTACCAGGAATACCAGGTCAGCCAGGAGACGATGGAGCCCCGCGGACAAAAGGTAACATAAACTTAAACCTGTTTTCTCTTTTTGAATTTTTTTCTAGTACTTTTAACCTTTGTGCTATTTCATTGTCTGTTTTCAAATGACGTCAGGGTGACATTGGGTTACCGGGGCTCAGAGGACCAGACGGCGCTCCTGGTAAAGGCGCACCTGGAGAGAGGGTAACAGTTGATGTTTTATCCAAAGATTATGTACAAATTTACTCTAATATATATGATTGATTAGAACTCAAAGTTGCTTATTCAGAAGATTGTTTTGAAGAGTATCAGCAACAGTTTTGTGTTATTCTGGCAGGGAGACAAAGGGGACAGGGGGACCAGAGGCCAGCCTGGTGCAGTCGGTCCTGTGGGGCCAGCGGGGGCAAAGGTAACGTGGGAAAATATATTGGTCCACCATTGTATTCATGCGGCTCTAATTAACACAACCTAACAACAGTTCATATGGAGTTATTGTCATACTTCAATTTGAAACCTACTCTTTATGCAATGAACCTGAAGATGCCCCACCTCCTTGCCTTGTTTATTATTACTCTGATGAGTGTTATCACTTCCAGGGGGAACCAGGAATTATGGGGCAACCGGGATTAATTGGACCACCAGGGAGGGGTTTACCCGGTGCAAAGGTAAGCCCAAGTGGGGCAGACATACAGTTGCTATAACTGTCAACAGTAACAAGGTGGTTCATTGTTCTGCTTCTGTTATTTGTCAGGGAGAACCAGGTCCACAAGGTGCAACTGGAGCTGTGGGAGAACCGGGGATAGGTTTACCTGGACCGAAGGTGATTTCAGCTCTGGTTTACTCTTCACTGATCCTCCCATGAAAAGTACTGACAAAAAGTGGCATGTTCTGGTTTGTAGGGAGACGTTGGGTCACCAGGGCCTGCTGGGCTACCTGGACTGAAAGGTGACGGTTACCCCGGCCCTCCAGTGAGTATCAACCTACATTACAGCCTCTTTTCTCACTTTACATCCCCGTTATACAATTTTTTCTAACCCTGTTTCTTAGGGACTTCCAGGGCCTCCTGGTCTGACAGGAGAGACTGGAGCAGATGGCATCGGTTTACCTGGACCAAAGGTAAAAGTTCATTGTTGTCAATCAAAGGGCAGAATCTTTGTCGAAGAAGTTACCTTCTCTTTGCAATCCGGCTGTTTTTGTTTATTTTTCCTGGATATCTTTGTTTCAGTTCTCACCATAAGTTTATTTTTGTCTGATATTTCTCCAAAACATGCCTTTTTTTTAGAGATAAATGATCACTAATGTATAATATGTTAATGGATAATATAAGTAATTTCAGTTTCTCTTGCTTTTTTATTTGTGTGTTTTCATCTTTGTGTTTACAGTGAAATGTTTTATGAGCCTGGTATCTTTTTTAAAGTTATTTTGCTTTTTTTTAAAGATTAGATTACTGTGATTATTTACATATATCTATGAATGTTTTATAATTTACTAGCTGTGTTTTTTGTTCAGGGGGACAGAGGCTTACCCGGACCTCCTGGACCTGCTGGACCTCCAGGGATTGGCCTACTTGGTTCCAAGGTAATCTGTCCTGTTCAAAACAATGGCTTGTATGTAATCTTTTTAAAACTATAAATTAATTGCTTGTGAATACCTTTAAATTCATATTGGAATCAAATTTTCTTTTCCTGCAGGGTTCAGTTGGCCGAACGGGACCACCTGGTCCTCAGGGTTTACCAGGAGAGGGCATCCAAGGACAAAAGGTACCGCTGTCAGCTGATAAGATAATATGAGAGAAGCCTTTATGAAAGTGTTGCAGCAGCAAAATAACAGAAATAAGTTACCCTCTTCTGGTATAAGCACATGATCTCTGTGTTTCCAGGGGGAGTCTGGATTTCAGGGGATCCCCGGTCCCAGAGGTCCTCCTGGACAAGGTCTGCAGGGGGACAAGGTAACGATACATGAATATGAAATATTAGTGACAGTCAACCTTAAAATAATTAAAAAAATTGAACTGTAATCTGATTATGTCGTTTTTTTTTCTTGTCTTCCTGATTGCATAACTCAGTTACATTATTTCTGTGGCTTCAAACTAAAGTCAAAGAAAACTTCAGCACAAAATACTGAGAAACATGACATCAGTAAACTCCTCACAACATGCAGCCCATCTGGTCTGAGAACATTTAAAATCAACAATAACTATAAAAGATCTAATGTAGTCCGGCTTTCTTTGGACGGATCGCTTACTCACTAGATATGTTCATATCTACAGGAGCTCTGTTAGGGGGTGTAGAAAACCCCATTCTACCACAGCCTTACTGTGAGTTTCAGACAAGTGTTTCCTTCCTCTTGTAGGGGGATCGAGGGTTCAGAGGTGAAAAAGGCAAAAAGGGGGACAAAGGAGAAGGTGGAGAAGCTGGAGCCAATGGACCTATGGTACTGGATTTTCTTTTTAGAGTGATTCAAAAGCTTTCATGGAAATAAATAATGTTGATCACTTGTCGTTGATCTCAAATCACAGGGTAGAGTGGGACAAAAGGGAGATCCTGGACTTACAGTAAGTATCACTCATTAGTTTTTATTATTAGGGGTCTCAACCAGAAATCTACAATAACCTAAAATTGGAGGACTCTATATAAAAAAGGGCTTCAAGATATAGACTGATTGGAACTGTACTATACTCTAGTATCCTGGTTATCTTCTGCACATTAAATGTCATGTCCTGGTATCAGAAACCTTGATATGCTACCTGGAGTACTGCGATAGAAACCAGGGTACCTGTGGCCGGTAAACACCTGATCCAGGTTTCTGAACATTCTTTGTGAGCCGTCCCGGGTTCAGATCCTGGACGAGCCCCCACTTTGTCACATCCTGAAGAACGGGAGAACACACATAAGTTTTAATTAAAGTAGGTTTATTTTACATAACAGATTAGAAGCCAAGGGGGAGAGAGAGTTTGGCGGATTGCCTCCAGCTTATATAGTCTCACCACCAGACCAGGTGAGCTGAATCTTGCTGACGACCAGACTCCTCCCAGCAGGCCACAGGAGGGAAAGTCCTGCTCATAGGGTTGTCACAGTTGGTACAAAACAAAGTGACTAAGATGGTCCAAAATCAAGACACAACTGCAGGCAGATGATCAGAAACTGGATACTGGTATGATCATGTATACAGGGATGTAAATAACCAGGTTTTTCCTGTTACATATCCAGACTATGATCAAAAACAGGATACTCAGATACACGCATGCATGTAAACGCATTATTCATTTACACATCTGTTCTTAAAGTATTGCACTTTCTATCTTTCACAGAGGGAAGAAATCATTAAAATAGTGAGATCCATCTGCAGTAAGTAATAAAAAACTCAAAACTCACATTTTTAATTTTGTTGATTCGACGTTGGTCCGTAGTCTCGCTCCGTCTGTTGCTCTGTTTCACTAGGTTGTGGAGTGACATGCCGCCAAACCCCCTTGGAGCTTGTTTTTGTGATCGACAGCTCTGAGAGCGTCGGGCCCGACAACTTCAACGTAATCAAAGACTTCGTAAACGCCCTGATCGACCGAGCCTCGGTCAGCAGGGACACCACGCGGGTCGGTGTGGTCCTTTACAGCCACATCAACATTGTGGTGGTCAACCTCAGACAGGAAGCCACTCGGGATGAGATCAAGTCGGCGGTGCGCTCCATGACCTACCTGGGTGAGGGTACGTTCACGGGCAGTGCCCTCCAACAGGCCAACCAGTTGTTCAAGGCGGCTCGGGCAGGTGTGAGGAAGGTAGCCATCATCATCACGGACGGGCAGCCTGACAAAAGAGACGCGGTCAGTCTGGAGAGCGCCGTGTCGGAAGCTCAAGGGAATAACATTGAGAGGTTTGTGATCGGGGTGGTGAATGAGAGCGATCCTCTGTCTGAGGAGTTCAAGAAGGAGCTCAGTCTCATGGCTTCTGACCCCGACAGCGACCACGTGTACCTGATTGATGAATTCAAAACACTTCCAGGTGAGCCATTCTTGGAATCACATAACGTACATATAAAAGTCAGTTCACCCAAATTACAAAACCAACATATTTTCCTAATTGGTATCTAGCATTTTCTACTACTTTGTGCTTGTACATTTCAAAGGCAAGTGTTTTACTTTTCACTGAATCGAATTTTGAAGATCTGAGTACTTCTACCGCCACTATCTATATGTGAGATTTCTAACTTCAACCCAATGTAATGGAGGTGAATGGAGCTTCATTCTTCGGCTGTCACTGCATTGAAAACTTAAAAAAAAAGTAACATCTACTATCATGGTGCTGTTGAGCAAACCCAACCTCAAACAGCTCATATTCAATCTGTGGTGGAAATTACTGACACAAAAGTGAAGCTGGAGAATGCGCTGTATACTGACAAGTGTATAAATGTATTAACTGACTGTAAAGTTCTTCTGGTATTGCAGCTCTGGAGAGGAAATTGCTCAGTCGTATCTGTGAGGATGGAGAGAGACATATGTTCAGCTCCATCCCAAGCTCCAGGCTGCCACCAGGAATCCCCGAGGTCTCCAATAATGTTCGAGAACCTCCATACAGAACCGATACAGACACACCCACCTTCACAGGAGACTTCAGGAGAGTTCAGATGGTGGTGAGGGCAACAAATCAGTAATTTTTCTACCTAATTTAAGTCAGTGTAGGCTTCGTTACAACAGTTTTACTACTGGCAAAGTAAAATAATCTTCTACTAGCATCTACTATTGCATGGATTGCCTTGACACTTTGTAGACATTCATAGTGCCAAGAGGATAAAACCTAATTGCTTCAGTGATCCCTGATCTCTGGTGCCACCAGCAGGTCAAACGTGTCATTAATCCAATGAAATATCTCAACATCTACTGGAAGGATTGTATATATAGTATAGATAGTATATCCGACAAAATACGTTTTTTTTTAACTTATTTTAATAGTTTTAAATCACATCTTTGGGTCTTCATATAGTAAATGGAGCTGGTTCAGGTGTTATAATATGACTTTTGTATAATGGTACCTGGATAAATGAAGGCACAGTAGATGAAATCATTTCCCGCTCTGTTACAGCCCCGTCCTCCGGGGTCACAGCCCGACAGAGAGCCCATCGCTCCGCTGAGGCCAAAGACAGACGACAGATCCTCCTCAGAAATTCAGAGATTTCCACTCTTCGACAGGGAGCCCTTCAGACCTGTAACAGAGTTTCTCCCACAGTTTGATATGAAGGACCCCACAAACCGTATGGTGATGACGGGAGCCATCGGGCCGGCGGGTCCCACTCCGAGGACCCCACCTGAGGAGAAGACGCCGCCGCCGACTCTTGTACTGCTGCCCTCTGACACCTACGTATCAGGTAACCTCTGAGAGTTTGCTGAAGAGATTGTAGGATGGAGAAATGGTTGCTGTAAATGTTAGAAATGATGCACATTACTCAATGAGGTCAAACCTTTAAACAAAAATCCAGATTAACTTGGTGGCTATAAACTTAAAATATTATACCTTTACTAACATCTTATCTGCAACCTGAAGGTAAATGTTTAAAAAGATTAAAAAACAAACAAACAACAACAACAACAAAAACTACCAAACATCAATCAGCCCAAAAAATTTAAAATAGTTTTATATTTTACACTTATTGTAGTTAAATATGAAGCTGCAGCTGGGAGCCAGTTAGCCTAGCTTAGCATTGCCGTATTTCTAAAAATGTAAACAATCCAATACTTCGATTTATTTCAAAATACCTGCAAGACTAATGACTGTGCTAACGTTAATTAGCAAATGTTAAACTTACATTTTGAACATGTTAAACATTATACATCAGCACGTTAACATTGTCAACAATGGCTGTGAGCATAAACCCAGTCTCGTTAAGTTTGTCACTTCCTGTTTGTTTGCTGTCTCCAGCGGAGCGCTGCAACCACCTCTTGGATCCAGGACCGTGCCGGGACTACGTGGTAAAGTGGTACTACGACGCCACCGCTAATTCCTGCGCTCAGTTCTGGTTCGGAGGCTGTCTAGGAAACGGCAACCGGTTTGAGACTGAGAAGAGCTGCAGAGAAACCTGCATCAAGGTCTAACATGTGCGTGCAGTCACAAACGTACACGTTCGTAAATGCTCATAAAACATTTTGCTGCGACTTCACGCCATGAAGCACTTCATCGTCAGTACCTTAGTATTTTACTCGTAGTTACTTTGACATGGATGGGGAAACAGCAAATGTTATCAAAGAGGCATCATTAAACTAAATTAGCCTGAAATGGAGGGAAAGGTTGAAACTGTTCAGAAGGGTAGGTACTGTTAAATGTTTTTTTTCCTGTTGGCCAGAGAGATTTTGTGTATTAATTGTGTGAATCAAGCCAGGTTAATGCAGAGAATGATGTCTAAGACGTTACTTACAGTTCTGTTAAAAAAACAAACTCTGTAACCACTAACCTTTCTATTCAGAAAAAAGTAACCCTTTTGTATGATTCAGTGGTGTATTTTTCTACTTAATGTCTTACGTTTTTTTTTGTTTCTGGTTTTTTTTTAATACTGTGAAATGTCATTAAACAGAAAAAACAAAACAAATAAACGTATAACTTCATGAATTGTAGGTCGAATGCCGTTATTGTAAGTCGCTTTGGACCAAAGCAGCAGTTTAATAGCAGTTTAAGTCCATCCTCGCTAAATAAAGTAGTTCCCTCAATGTCTGTAAGAAGCTGAGAGGAATCACCTCCCAACAGGAAGATGACTCACTGAGAAACACTTTCTTCACCACAAAGTTTCAAGTTGGACATGATTACATGTAATTAGTGAGGAGAGGCTGCTCTCAGAACGATGCAGCTTCAGCATATGGAGCGTCTATTTCAGCTGCAAGGCTTCGTCTTCTTGTTGACTTCAGGGTGACGTCTCGAGAGAGAAAAAGATGCAAATGGACGGTCGTGCTGGGCGAGCGTGGCAGGTGATATTTTACATCAGCAACAACAGTCGGTGCAAACAAGACTTCCCTTCTGTGCGAGAGTGATGGATACAGTCAAAGAACGCAGTAGGAAAATAGAACTTTAATCTTTGGCTTGTACTGCACATTCAATAACATCCATTCATTCACATCAATATTTAAACTCTAGAGTGTCAGTGAGTGGCATCATTTGTAAAAGACAAGGAAAGAGGACATGATGATGTATCCAGGATCCTTGGAGGGATTCGGATCCTTCCCCTCGAAAAAGCTGAAGTAGAGAACGGTGTTTGATTCGCTCACGTTCAGCTGAAAGAGGACAGAAACAGACACTCTGTGTTCATAAAACTCACAGCAACGCTTTGATTTTACAGATATCTTCATCAAGAAAACAGTGAATAACACAGTAGGTGATACACACTAAAAACCCACAGTACTCAGGAGGGGTTATGATTACAAATTTAGTTCCCATTGAACTAAACCAGTCAGGACACAGTGTGATACACCTCGAGGCTTTCACAGCAGGAAGTCTGAAAGACAGCTGGCTGAGGACAACAGTGTAACTCTATTTATTAGCTTTAAGGAGAAAATAGTGTTTTCAAACCAGATTAAATCTACATTGTTACATAACTTCCATAAATTTCTTTAAGTATTATAATATGAAGTACAGAGAATATAATTGTAGTAGATGTGAAAATATATAGAAATAATAGAAGAAATATAAATATAAAGGGGACTTGTTTATGAAACCCTCATCTAACAAGGCAAGTTGACAGGAGCTCATGATGGAGAGAGGGCTACTGGGAGCTGCCCAGTACTGGGACTGAACCACTGAGCAGCTCCACTAGAACAGATACATCCTGCTGAATGAATATCTTTCAACGTGAAACATTTGCAAAGCCCCTTTTCATTGCACTGCACTCATTGACAGTATATATAATGGACAGAGCTTCCGGGTCTGTGAAGTGAAGTCAACGTGTAAATGTCTTAAACCTGTAGTCTATGTAAAGGCCAGCAGGGGGAGCTCCATTGGCTGCAATGAAGAAACAATACTATGCAATCTAATGGAGAAATGAGCCGACTTCTCACTTGATTTATGAGCTTAGTAAACAGTTTTCTGACGAGTTAATGGTATTAATCTCTAGTTTCACGTCTTTCTCCATACATTATGCTGTTCATTTAGTAAATTATTCTCCAATTTAGAGTAAAATAGACCTTGTGATTGACATCGTCCAGCTCAACGCACCAAACTCAGATCAAACTGTTAAACAGGCAGTGCTGATCAGATATGGATCCAGATTCTGTTAATAAATCTAAATGTAATCCCTTTAAAGTAGTAGAGACATAGCGAGACCCAAGTAAATGAGATAATATACGATGTATTTGAATAAATTATATGAAATTATTAAGTCTGCATTTAATCTCTTAAATTGATTGATGGTCGAAGTTATGAAAAAACGTAACAAACACTTCCACACATAGGAATCTTAAATATGACGTTAGTAGTAAATCTGAACATTAGACCTAGAATTAGATGAAGATGGATTAGAGAAGTAAACTTGAGGCATAGATTGTGTTGGACTGTAGCACAAAACAAAGCAGCTGCTCTTAAAGTGAAAAGTAAACATTAAAATCTAAAATCGGACATTATGTGCAACATGTGGTTGCGTATTTTTACAGTTAAATCCTGGAGGAAATCTGATCCCGGGACTGTGTTGCACATGACTGCTGAGAACATGAGAGAACTGCCAGGCAGGAACCAGTCAGGAGTTTTATATGATTATTTCAAGAGCCTTTATGGTCAATAACTCACTTCAGAATAATTAAGCGCTCCTTAATTCTAATGGGCTTACGGCACTCAAATGTTTTACTTCAGTGTGACCTTGATTTCAGTACGAGGTTCTTGTAAATGTACTGGAGAAGGAGAGGCTTACTGGGATTTAAACTTATCCTCAGAAACCCTGAATATAAGTGTGTGTGTGTGTGTGTGTGTGTGTGTGTGTGTGTGTGTGTGTGTGTGGTGAATAAACTGAAAGTAATCTGATATTCCCAAAAAGTTGCTGAATTTAAAACTCTCAAACTGAAAGTCAGACTGATTTACACATCCAGCATAAAAAGCAACATTAGCAACATTAGCTTTCATTTGAAGTCGTGTTTCTGATGAATTAAAGTCTAATATTGTTTTTGGTCTCCACCAACTCCTACGAAATATAACCTATTGGGCTTTTTAGTTGCTAAATGCTCCACTATGTTCACCAAAGTCAGATTTGAGAGCTTTTTCAAGGAAAATTACACCGATGAGAGCGGTGAAAGTGAACCAAAACAGTAAAGATGCAACCATACGACCAAAACAATGAGCTGAAAGACGCTAAAACACCATGCAGAGATAATATAGATATCACTATAAGATAACCCTTCACATTACACTAAATTAAACAACAGCTACTGTAGATAAAATTAAAAGGTTTCAGATCAATAATGCAATCAGATGATAAAGTTTGGGGTCAAGATCTTTACCTGTTTGGTGATATCGACCCTCCAGGGGTTGACCTGCTGTCCATCACACCAGCCTCCTCGCCCGTACAGCCATGTGCCGTATTCGTTTGGTACGGCGCCCTCTTTCACCTGTGTTGTGCAGCCCAGAGGCGATCCTGATGGTTCCCAAAGAGATCAGAAAATACGACAATCAGTCCATATTGGTATATTTTTATTTTACAGACATAAGTATTACTTTCAATTATATAAAATGTCTTAAATAAATTTTATTTAACTGTATTTAACACACCATCTTTGATAAATGTAGCAACCAACACATTTAAATTCAATAAATCAATTATTTCCTTATATTATATCCCTGCCTGGCTACTCCACATAAACACAACCAAAATAATAACATACAGTAAACTCCAGTAGATCCTTCATCTATGTGTTGGCACCGACATGATTATTGTTCCTTTAAAATGTATTAAAATACAGAGATTTATGCTCTAGGACTGTCACTTAAACATTAATATCAAACTATTAATGTGGATATTAGGTTATTAATATTCAATACTTTTGACATTTAAATAACTTTTAATGACCTAAATGTTGAGTTTTAAAGCTCGTCCTTGACACTGGAAACAGCAGCTCTCGGCTCAAGATCCATTTCTGGAGAAGCTCTTCAACTTTACAGCCACGAACTACAACTCGATGACAAGTGGGACTGCTGACGAAGAGTGAGTCATTGAACTAAAACTGACCTTAAGGTCGAATTATTACATCAACCACCTGCAGTGATTGTTCCTTTAAAAAGTCGACGTTCCCTTTACCTGCAGAATCGAATACGAGGGTGTTGTTGAAAACAGTGTTGAACAGGAAGTGGTGGGAGGTGACGCAGAACTCTCCGCAGCGGTTGTCATCGCTGCCGTGGGCCGTGATGACGGCGTACAGCTCAACCTGAGAACAGACAGACGGCCAGCTGAGACGGGGACGGACAGACAGGAAGCTCTTTAAAAAAGGATTAATAATCAGATCTGCTACCTTCTTGGTCGAACCCGGGACGAGGAATTTGATTGGCTGGTATCTCTTGTTGTACTTTTTGTCGAAGGTTCCCCCGCTGTACAGTGGCATTACTCTGAAGGGGCGGAGCTCCTCCTCATCATCATGAAAAACAGCGGCTAACAAATTGTGTTAGAAATTGATTTTATTACTCAGAAATACTGGTTCCTTTGTCTCTGGTGATCTTTAACTCAATACTTTCTGAATACAAGCATCAACTTGGGTCCTGAGAGACAGTAAAAAACAGTATACGATCATATCGCCGCACTCTATAACTTACTCAGTACACCTACAAACATCAAGATGGGTTTCACAGTTTTCCAGCCGCGAACCGAACGTAGCTTCAGTGTTATTATAGTTGATACCTGTCTGATTGCCGATACTGAATCTCAGGTTGAGGGAGACGAACCACGGCATCACCCACGGTTCCGTCTTCATGGTCAAGGTGCATCTGTGGCTGTCCAGCAGGGGGAGCAGAGGGGACACATCCGTCAGCCAGCGCCCGATACCTCTACAAACATAATGACAACATATCAGATAAAATAACTGGATTCTTGGATCAGTATAGTTCAATTAAAATCAGTTAATCACAATATTGATTTATTTCCCAGCCCAGGAAATCAAGAGCAATTTAAGAATAAAACTGAAGATACCAAAATCATTGTATTTAAATCTGTTGATCTTGGTGGGACTTTAACGGAATAGTTTGACATTTAGGTCAAATTTAATTTCTTTCTGAGTTACAATAGATGAGAAGACTGATACCACTCTCTCTCGTGATGTGTTTTATAAATATGAATAGTAATTATTCCGTATTTGTGGTTTTACATCAACATCTGACCTGCGGAAGGCCGTGATCCATCGGCCCAGCTCCATGTTGCAGTACGGGCCGAGATGATCACAGCAGATAAACAGCTGCACTGTGTGATCCCAGTGAGCGCAGGACAAATCTCTCTTCCCGGGACAAGACAGGGACGCATCAAGCTCCAGCGTGTTAAAGTCCAACAAACCTGCAGAGACAATAGTTTATATATCATTAAAATGCTTAATATAGCTATTGTTGTTTTTCAGAACAGGGTTAGTTGTTTTGAGTGGTCTCTAATGGATGCTTTA